ATGCAGTTCTCCTTCCTAAAATCTAATCAGTCAGTCTAGACTTTCACAGAAATTGAGTAAGACTACAACCAGTGTTTGGGATGGAAGAATATGGAGGGACATATACTGTATATATATATATATATATATAGCCCTCCGTCAACAGAAAGCAACAATCTGAATAATTAATACTTAAACAACAAGAAAGAGTTGGAAGGGGGTAGTGCTATAAAGAAAGACACCATCCTCTCATCGCTTAAAAATTTAGCACACCTTTCCTCAACAAGCTAACTGTACTGGAGTGAACTGTACATCATTGAAACCGGAAAAAACAACCCAGTGCCGTTTACTGATGTTATCCTGCAGCTCTCTAGCCCTTCACTGCACATCATCGAAAGAAAGACTGATAGAATAAGAAACGAGTGCAGACAGGAGAGGGAAAGGGCTTCTGGAGATTAATTTAGTGTGTACAGTATTGGCCCATGAGAGTCTAGTTTCCAGAAGCTCTATAATGATATTTAGCTGTCTAAGAATCAGCGCATACGTAGAACGACTGAACTGCTGGTGCTGTTTTATCTGCAACATCAAACAGAGAGCAAACAAACACCCTTCCTTTCCATCTGTTGTGTCCTTTTGATGGATGCAAGCGGCTCTTTCCTCAGTGTGTGTCTCTCTCTCTGTCATGCTTTTCATTTTTCTTCCTTTTGATGCAGCATTTAGCAGTTGGGCTCTCAGATCACTGTGAAAGAACATTTTTTCTTTCTAAAAACAGAAGCAAATACGTTGAATTACCATACGTACACACTCTGGATCTGTTTCAAAATTTTGGCACCACCTAGACAGAACTTTAAGGCTTCACAGACACAATCATGACACAAATGAGATGTAGTATATTTATGAAAATAATTAAAATATAAAGTGTCAAAAACAGATCAAACTAACAAAAATGGACTATTATAATATATTTTTGTGTGTATTCATCCATCCATCCATCCATCTATCCATCTGTCTACCTGTCCATCTATTGCTAGTTGGTTTAATTGGCATTGAAAGAAGTTACTTAACTTTCAAAAATGTTGATTGTCAACCCTCAAGAGTGCAAAATAAATATTTTATTAGCGAAAAATTGAGACATGTCCAATTTGTGTGATTTTGTAATTGTCTAGCAATAAAGATCAAAATAAAAATCACAGAAGTTTTAGAGATTATATCAATAAAATAAATAAATCCATAATTTAGCAAATTTTGTGCTATATATAAGGCTAAATGCTTATTTGCATATACTGAGAACTTCCTATAAATTTAAGGGGGAAAGAATTATAATTTTTTCTTATAACACATTGGGTAACAGGGTTCAATGCTTGAATTTAACGGATGTCCATTGATGACCATTTCAAGGCCAAAAATGTACAGACATTTCAGATCAATTTTTGTGTTGTATAATATGTTGTAGGCCTACTCTTTAAAATTGTTAATACGAAAAAGTGTTGGAACGATGTCCAGAGAGAGTGAGATAGATAGAGATATATATATATATATATATATATATATATATATATATATATATATATATATATATATATAGAGAGAGAGAGAGAGAGAGAGAGAGAGAGAGAGAGAGAGAGAGAGAGAGAGAGAGAGAGAGAGAGAGAGAGAGAGAGAGAGAGAGAGGAGAGAGAGAGAGAGAGAGAGAGAGAGAGAGAGAGAGAGAGAGAGAGAGAGAGAGAGGAGAGAGAGAGAGAGAGAGAGAGAGAAACAAGTGATTGACAAGGAAAGGTTCAATTCAGTAGGTTGAATTGCTGTAATTGGAATAAAGTCGAGAGAGAGAGAGAGGCAAGAGTGAGACATTTTAACTGTTTATGTGATTTGATTGACATTAAAGAAAACACTGTCTCCATCAGCAGCCAGCACCTTCAGTTTCCTGTTGGACAACACAGCATCCCGACCGCACGTCAAGCATTCTCCGTTAACTTGCATCGACTGCGCAGACAGCTGCTGATGGATGCCTCCAAATTAAAGACACCCACTGATCAACTTAACTGAGCTGCCAATCAATCAATCAATCAATCAATCAGTCTAATCCAACCCCAGCATCCACAGTCGAGCTCAGTCAGGTCTGATCCAGCAGATAGCTATTGATTAGAACAAGACCCCGAGGGGTCACTCAGGAAAGAACAACAGGAACGTGAACAGCACCACATGATCGGCAAGATATGCTCATCGTCACAGTGAGAGCTGACTTCCTGCGGTGGAATAAGAGGCCAATCCATGATTCTCAAGGAAAAGCACTTCCTTAGAAGAAAGTTTCTCAGAGGCAACAGTTGAGCGATGAGTTGGACAGGAAGAAACCATCGGACTGATGTAAAACGCAACCAATTAGAGTGTGTCTTGTTTTACGTGCCATTTAAAAGCAGGTTAATCCTAATGGTGCCACAATAACAAACGGATTCATTTACAGTAGATAAAGCACAGCAGATAAAAACCCTTTTTACTGTATGTTTTATCAAATAAATGCAGCCTTGTAGAGTGGAAGGAAGGAAGGAAGGAAGGAAGGAAGGAAGGAAGGAAGGAAGGAAGGAAGGAAGGAAGGAAGGAAGGAAGGAAGGAAGGAAGGAAGGAAGGAAGGAAGGAAGGAAGGAAGGAAGGAAGGAAGGAAGGAAGGAAGGAAGGAAGGAAGGAAGGAAGGAAGGGAGGAAGGGAGGAAGGAAGGAAGGACAAACGAAAAAGTTAGTGCACAAATATAAAATCAATATACTCTACAGAAAATCTGAAACATTTTAAACAGATGTGCTTAATTGTTCTAGCTGCATTTAATGATTAATTAAATGTAATATTTTTGGTTCTTTTGTAATTTAAAAAATAAATAAAAAAAATAGTTAATTAATTTATATAGGCAGGATGCAAAATTAAGAAAAAACATATACATATATAAATAAACAGAACAACTCTGACTCAATTAAATCTTTTCGTCTGAATGTGACTATAAAAGTTGAGGACAGAAAAGCAAGAAAACAGGCAAGAGATGGTCACGCTTGTGTTTGTGCCGGTGGAGGGCGGAGGGAGAACACTAGATAAAGACTATTTTAAATGAGGTGACATGAGGATAGTGTCCAGCCTGGGCATTGTGACTGGAGGTAGAAACAATCTGCCAAAAATACACACACACACAAATAAACAGAGAAGCAAACAGCCAAAGTGTCCTCGCACCAAAACCAGCTATTACAGATTCAATGACCTAAGAGCAGTTATTTCCATCATGTGACCCACACTTATGCTTTCGTATCCATTAAAACAAGAGCACTTATTTCAGACCAATTAAGCATGACAGAAAAAAGCCAGCAGGCGAAAAAAGGAAAGGGACAGTGAGAAAGAGAGAGAGGGAGTGAAAGGTCAATACTTTCATTTAGTCATCAGGGTGAGCTGTCAGCGATGTGTTTAATGCTCACCAATAAAAGCAGTTCGACAGTCTGCCATATACATCACATGCACTTCAGGAGGAAGAGTTAAACATTTATAACATTGACTGACCCTGCTCTAGCACACACAACATATGGTATTTCTCCACTGTCTGGGAAAATGAGCCAGCATAATCATATCTAATGATTTCTAGTCATACAATAATGGAAAATGCTCTTGAAACACAGTTTTCAGGGCATACAGCGTACAGTTTAACAAGAAAGAAAATCAAAAGGACAGAGCGTATCGACAAACTAATTAACTTTCAGCTTGAAGCAGCCCTGCCAACATTCTGGACTCAGTTTTATCAGAGCTAGATCAATGCAGATCGATCCAAGCTGGATCTTTCTGCCAGATCTAATTTACTTTGGACTGAGAAAGAAAAAACAATGGCTATTTTTGAAACACTAGCTTAGTACATACTACACACTCTTTAAAAAAAAAAGAGAGAGAGAGGTTCATACATGGAACTCTAGGGTTCTTGACTCAATCTTTAAAAACCCTTAATGCCAAAAAGGTTCTGTGGAGAAATATATTAAATATCCAATCATTTAATATATTTCTCCTTACATAGAACCTTTTTATACCTTAATTTTGTCTAGTGATTGGTTTGTATACTGTTCATTTCAGCAAATTTAGTAGGTCATCTGGGTATTTTACGCATTCACAAAATTTATAAAGAAAATATACTGCTGAAATAGCAAGAACATTATGCAAGTATGACACCTGGAATACACCTCAACAGGTGGAAATCCACATGACTAAATATGGTTGCATCAAATAAAACATATACATTCAGTTGCAATGTATAACAGGGTTTTTTCTGCACTGAAAATATTTTGGCGGCCAAAGAGCATCAAAGGTTTCCATTTACGTGTTTTTGCTGCATTGAGCTGTTATCACATTATCACATAGACATATCTGTTTACCGAATGAACGCAATGGGCAAATGTAACCGTAACTTTCATCATAACCAAAGTATATACACGATGTCAATAAGAGATTCATTGCAGAGCGCATACAGCTTCATTGATTATAACGGAAAATTTGTGTACCTTTGCAAGAGTGAATCTTTGTGTACCTCGTGTTGAACTCAAGTAATTGACAGCTTCAGTATTTATAATGGTGATCTTTGCTCGTTTTCTGTATATATATTTTTCATGCTGCTAACTACACATTGCAAAGTTTCTGGATTGACAACCATTTCATTTAAATGCGCCATTGAATCCGATTGACAGTGATAATAACCATAATAATGGACGGAACAAAACTATCTGAATACTGTATGTCAAAAGATCTCATTAAGTCTTGGAGTGTAAATGCAAAATAATAGACCTGCCACTTTTTCTATGTAATGTGTTACTTGGTTGTTCATTGTATTACTATATTTTCAAATCAGTCACTCAGTGACTTTTTAAATAAATGTACACATTTTTAAATGATTCACAGATTTTTAAAACACGGATGGACGTGTCCGTCCCTGGGTAACATCTCAAAAAATGCCTTAAAATAGATACACGTTTTGAATATTAGGTTGATAACGTGTAATAATACTCGATACTTACTTCTAGAGCTTTGGAGCGGTTGGCAAGAAGTTTGTCGATTTCACGCGCAGCTTTTGCCACCAGCTGTTGAGCGTTGTTTTGCTTCACAGTATAGTGTTTGTGCAAATCCTTGAAAATCTGAGAAAGAGAGAGGTTTAAGGTTTCAGGTTTACTTGCTGAAATTTGTCTAAAAAGCCATTACTTATGAGCAGAGAGAAAGAAAAGGCAGAAAACTCTTGTGGTGTCATAGCCTTGACAGACAGCATAGCATTCATTACAAATGTACCTGCAAATCTAATTAGTCGAATAAAAAAAAAGGCTGTGACAGATAATCAATGCATAAAACAAAACAGATTTAATATTCAACCTTTTTGCAATTAAACCAAGACACAACTATGTAAAAAGAGTAAAGCTGGTAAGAACGTATATGAATTATGGAATATTCTCAGACTCTGCTAAACCAAACAGGCAATTATTTAGTGGTTAGAAGGTCTCCTGTAAAACGTCAATAGTTATGATGGGTTAAGAATAGAATAGAATTTAAATAATAAATAAAATGAATACAAAATATAATAAGTTATATTAATATTAACTGCAAGGCCAAAATAAGAATGATTGGTTCCTGTCTTTTATCTGACTGTTGCTATCAATACTGTGGCAAAGTGTATATATATATTTAACAAAGAAATAGGTAATATATATACAGGTCCTTCTCACTTCTCAAAAACTTAGCATATTGTGATAAAGTTCATTATTTTCCATAATGTAATGATACAAATTTAACTTTCATATATTTTAGATTCATTGCACACCAACTGAAATATTCAGGTTATTTATTGTTTTAATACTGATGATTTTGGCATACAGCTCATGAAAACCCAAAATTCCTGTCTCAAAAAAATAGCATATTTCATCCGACCAATAAAAGAAGTGTTTTTAATACAAAAAAAAAAGTCAACCTTCAAATAATTATGTTCAGTTATGCACTCAATAGTCAATACTTGGTCGGAAAACCTTTTGCAGAAATGACTGCTTCAATGCGGCGTGGCATGGAGGCAATCAGCCTGTGGCACTGCTGAGGTGTTATGGAGGCCCAGGATGCTTCGATAGCGGCCTTAAGCTCATCCAGAGTGTTGGGTCTTGCGTCTCTCAACTTTCTCTTCACAATATCCCACAGATTCTCTATGGGGTTCAGGTCAGGAGAGTTGGCAGGCCAATTGAGCACAGTAATACCATGGTCAGTAAACCATTTACCAGTGGTTTTGGCACTGTGAGCAGGTGCCAGGTCGTGCTGAAAAATGAAATCTTCATCTCCATAAAGCTTTTCAGCAGATGGAAGCATGAAGTGCTCCAAAATCTCCTGATAGCTAGCTGCATTGACCCTGCCCTTGATAAAACACAGTGGACCAACATCAGCAGCTGACATGGCACCCCAGACCATCACTGACTGTGGGTACTTGACACTGGACTTCAGGCATTTTGGCATTTCCTTCTCCCCAGTCTTCCTCCAGACTCTGGCACCTTGACTCAGTCCACTGCTTCCGCAGGTCCCCCAAGGTCTGGAATCGGTCCTTCTCCACAATCTTCCTCAGGGTCCGGTCACCTCTTCTCGTTGTGCAGCGTTTTTTGCCACACTTTTTCCTTCCCACAGACTTCCCACTGAGGTGCCTTGATACAGCACTCTGGGAACAGCCTATTTGTTCAGAAATTTCTTTCTGTCTTACCCTCTTGCTTGAGGGTGTCAATGATGGCCTTCTGGACAGCAGTCAGGTCGGCAGTCTTACCCATGATTGCGGTTTTGAGTAATGAAACAGGCTGGGAGTTTTTAAAAGCCTCAGGAATCTTTTGCAGGTGTTTAGAGTTAATTAGTTGATTCAGATGATTAGGTTAATAGCTCGTTTAGAGACCCTTTTCATGATATGCTAATTTTTTGAGACAGGAATTTTGGGTTTTCATGAGCTGTATGCCAAAATCATCAGTATTAAAACAATAAAAGACCTGAAATATTTCAGTTGGTGTGCAATGAATCTAAAATATATGAAAGTTTAATTTTTATCATTACATTATGGAAAATAATGAACTTTATCACAATATGCTAATTTTTTGAGAAGGACCTGTATATACTTTGAACTCTGCTTTCCAGAACATCCCATGTAGGTTGAGGATGTTAGTGTCTGATCATTTAGGATATTCACTCTTAAATTAGTTTAGAAGTAAAAAATACACCATAAAGAATTGTGATTGGACATGCACAGGTGTGTACCTGGTCCTGTAAAAAAATGGGCATATTCCATGACCCTCGTAGTCACATGACCACATGTACCACTGCAGATAGCCACCCAGTTTAACAGCAGGCAGCATGCATTGTGGGTTGATGGAATTCTTTGGCTTTAAACCTATCTGAACACATTAAATATTCTTTGCACATCGGCCTTTCAGAATGGCAAAGGCTTTCAGAATGGCAAACTGCCTGACAAACACTAAAAGGTTTTGATGAGACTGGGTCACAGAGCTCCTTTTGAAGCAGTACAGTAGGCCTATATGAAAAATTTCAGCCAAAATGAAAATTCAGTAATCATTTGGTCACCTTCATGTCGTTCTAAACCTGTATGACTTTTCTTTGCCCATAGAAAGAAAACTTTAGAACCACTGCCCTTGCAATTTGAGCATTGATATCAGCTCAAACCCAGTCCCATTCATTTTCTTCGTAGGGACATTTATTTTTAATAAATGAAAACTTATAAACCTTTAAAGACAGGACCTGCCATGATGTTGTTAATTGATAGTATACATTTATGTTGAAGCCATCAGTATGCATCTATCCTGTATATATTTTCTATACTGCCACAAGAACTTCTTGATTTTATACAGACAAGCACAAATGTGTGTCTGTGTAAAATCAGAAAGTTTTTGTGGCAGCATAGAAAATATGTATGTGCATGTTTAGCGTGCTGAAAGACAGTCGTGTGGTCTTACTTCTTTGAGCTTTTGTATGCCGCTCTCAGCATCGATCAACTGCACAAGCTCCTCTTGCATCTGTTCTGCCCATTTGCGGGTCCTGCCGACACAAAGAACTCAGATTTAGTTGTTTTTTAAACAATGATCTGTGATGATTAACATATAAGCACATTTCCCAGTTCTTTTTGTTTATTGGTTGCATTTACAGTAAAAATCTATTTAGCACAAAAATTTGAGAAAATAATCATTGTACATCCTGCCTTTTCATTGCAACATGACTCATGGTGATGATATTGAAAAGCAACATATAAAAAAAAAAGTTATTATTATAAATCATTTATTCTCAATTGACAAAATCAAGTCCCGTCCTACATTTTTTTCAATTTCGACAAGTTTTTCTCTTAGATATACGTCACAATAGGAAAGAAAAGATGGTCTCATTTTTTACCTCCATGAAACTTGTGCGCTATATTCCAACTTCACGTTCCAAAATTTGTTAGAAACATTCAATTTAAATAAAAAAAATTCAAATAGTTATTTCACTGAAAATCATGCTCTTCGCTGTACCTCTAAAATCTCATTTGCACTTGCGCATATTCAAACTTGTGATCTAAATGACATAAAATAGCATTGGTTCTCATTAGGCCTGTCTCAACATAACTAATTGTGAGGCACGGTTATTTTCAGTGAGTGACAACTTTCAGACTATTTCAGTAACACTTTACAATATCCCATTGGTTTACATTAGTTAATCTATTAACAAACATGAACTAATAAGCAATACATTTATTACAGTATTTATTCATCTTTTTAAAGGTTAATCAAATTAAAGTCATTCATGTTAGTTCACAGTGCATTAATTAAAGTTAACAAATACAACTATTGATTTTAATAATGTATTAGTAAATGATCAAATTAACATTAACTATAGTTAATAAGACCTAAGAATGAACAATACTTCTACAGCATTTATTAATCAAAGTAGTTAACTAATGTTAAATAATGAGACCTTATTGTAAAGCATTGCCTCTATTTCTCATCCAAAACGATTAAGTCATAATAACTGCATTTATGGTATTTTAAAAGGTGCTTTTTTTTTTGGTCCATTCTGAAGGATTTTATATGGGTTATATGAATTATGGAAAATTATATGGGTTTGGAACATCATGATGGTGAGTCAAAAATCAATAAAGTTTGTCATTCTTAATTCATTATGATATTAAAGGGGTCCTATTATATATATTTTTAATTTTCAACTTTCTTTAGTGTGTTTTGCTGTTTGAGCATTAAAAAGGTCCAAAGTCCCACATTTCAAAGGGAGTTATTCTCTATATCAGTAAGCATTGCTTATGAACTCCCTGAAATGCCTCAATTGTTGTATTTTTGTCAATTTTCTACTACACCGGTGATGTACACATCACAATATCTAAATAATTCCCGCCCAAGGCATGTGCATAAAAAGTTGGGCGAGGCCTTATGCCATTAAATGATGTAAACGTATTCTAGTAGACCCCACAAACATAACTGTGAACTTGTAAATGAGCATAATAGGACCCCTTTAACAAAGACAGACGAAGGGGGCTCATATTATGATTATACATGTTTAACCTCGCCTACAGTCTCAGATTATCCCCCTGCTGACCAGCCACCTTCTGTTTTAAATACTCGACATAAATCTAAAACTGTTGAGCAGACAGCACGCATGAAGCCTCCATCTATAAGGGGACTATAGCTGTATTGGAGCCCTCTAAAGCAAAGCAGAACAAGTGCTGTAGAGGTAGAGGGAGATAAAAAAGAGGTGTGAAGGGTGGGATATGGGCGTCATGTAAGTGAATCCATATCAAGGTTCTTATCTTGTCACCACCACTTTGAATCTCATCAGTGTGACTCAAAGCTACGACAGCAGAGCGCGTTGAATGTATGCGAGACGTCCCGCGGCATTAAACAGACACCACCACACACACACAAAATAAGGGCTGCAGAAAATTCCCGATAGCTGGAGGGTGATGAGTTTGGCTGGTTCTAATGGGAACACTTTCTTATAAAAAAAAAAACGGTAATCTGAGAAGAGAAACCACATGTGGAGCAGAAGTATATTTAGCCATGAGAGACAACCACCAGAGGCCTCAGCTTCAGGCAAGACTGGTGTGAGCATATTTATGCCATATGAAGATATCAAAGAATAGCCCTGCCTGGATATATCTCACTTACATGCTGATACACTATTGGGTTCATATTTAGACTACCAGTCACATGTTACTGAATTTGTGCTTCTTATGATCTTTAAATTTGTTTTTTACAATTTACTAGCTTGTGCTTAAGAAAATCTTGTACAGTTTAAAAGCATCCCAAGAAGAAATACATAAATCACATACCTCCATTTGTGTTTTTTTATAGTTATGACTTTATTTTTAAAATAAAATGCAGATAACCCTGTTGGTTGAAACAATTTTAGAGTGTAAATTGTAAATTCATTATAATTAATTATAAAAAAAAAATATATATTATATAACTAAATTAAATATACCAATGATATGATTAGTTATACATTTATATCAATTCAAAAGTTTGAATGAATAAATGATAAATAACAACAGAAATATAATAATTTGCAGCTAAATTATTACCTAAAATATCTTTCAAAATCTCAAAAAAAAAAGTTCCTTAACCGTATGAGGTATCGGATTGGAAAAGAGACTGTATTGTCCACATCAATTCTTGACAATAAAATATCACATCTACTGTATTTTACTGAACTGTCCTACTACTGTATGTACTACTGTACTAAAATGCTGTCCAATTAAAAAGAAAACAAAAACAATACCAGCTCAAACCCAAACAAGCCTTATGCCAAATCAATTCCTCTCTCCGATCCCTTCTGATGAGATGAATCATTGCAGCTAATTATTGTTATGGATCACGAATGTCAGAATATGGCTCATTCAACAACGCAAGAAGAGGGGAAAAGGCTGCCAGCCCCGTTTAGTTTAGCTGATGAAATTCAATTGAAACTCTCTTGATGAAATTAGCCTATAACAGCAGTATGATCATAACCACCACAGTAGCCATAAAAACAGAGCACATACACGCTAAGTAGTGCTAAGGCTTGGGGGGGAAATGGATGTGGTGAAAAAAAAAGGAATGGAAACTTGGAGCAGTGAATGGAAAATTGAGATAAGATCTCCTTTGGTCCCTCCCCTTCCAAGTCCTCTGGAGAGGGAAGCAGGGGGCAGGGGCGACCCAGCAGGCTGTAAAACATTACATACTGTAAATGGTTTATGGAAACAATTTTGTTTCATCAAACTTCATTTCTTTGTGAAATTGCGTACTCAAGATATATAAATTACATTAGGAATCAGGTTTTTAAAAAATCAGTTCCTGTGATCTCTGCTCAGCGGGAACTTACTTTAGTAGGGAAAACACTATATTTAAAATAACTGTTTTCTGTTTTAATGTCCTAAGATGGCAAAACTGAATGGTCAGCATCATTACTCCAGTCTTCAGTGTCACATGATCCTTCGAATTCATTCTAATACGCTGATTTGGAGCTCAATAAACATTCCAGAGTATATTTTTATGTAAATATATGAATTTCTTTGCAATCAGTGCATAAAATAATTTTATAATTGACATACAGGGAAAATAAAGTGTCTTGAACAGCTAATATAGTACTGGATGTCTGTCAACTGAAAGTAAGCTTAGACTGTACCACACAAAACAAGAAGCTTTCTCTTGCCCTCTTAACTACTCCCTGAGGAAGTCAGGGCTGTTTCTGTGTTCAGAGCCACATTAGACCTACATGTCCCCAATATTTTAGAAATATAATCACTTTATATGACTGAAATATAAACATTTAGAGCACTAAATGGTGACAAAATTGTTCCCTGTAAAAAATAGTATTTACAGTTCTGACCTTTACAGAGTGCTGCAACTATAAACTGTAAACTAATTTAGAGTAAAAATAGTTTGTTTAACAGCAAAGTCAGGAAAGAACGAACATCATTCCATGTTATATCACAATGTCATCGCTTGACCAGCTGTCTAGAACCATGTGGGTTGTTTAAATCTGAGCCAAATGGCCTCTTGATGGATCCCTCAAGCATCATATGTGTCCACAACTTAAGGCCACAGATCAGGGGTCAGAGCAACAGGTGCTGTTGGTTCAAATCAAAGCACAGAATAAACATTATCAGGTGGGACAAAAATACATTTAGTGACAAAAGGCAATCACAGCGAATTGCGCATTGGGAACAAATATGCAAAGTAAACATCCTATGAGATAAGACACATGAACAACCAATAGTCAGGTTCAACACACAACACATACTGTATCCATCCAATCAGAATAAGTGACACATCAAGCAGCCCTTGAATAGAGTACATGAGTCAGGTTTACAGGGCTGGATCTTGACTTCTGGCTGCAGTTCCCCTCCCTCCTACACAAACACACATGGACAAACACACACAAACACACTGACATGTTGGGTTTCCATGTTATGGGGACTTTCCATAGACAATGGTTTTGTACAAACTGTATATTCTATCTCATAACCCTAAACCTACCCATCACAGAAAACATTCTACATTTGCAAAAAACATCACTTAGTCTAATTTATAAGCTGTTTTTCTCATGGGGACATTTTATCCCCATAACTATACTTTCAGATAGGCTATGTGAATATTCCCCTCTGCTACAGTGCAAACAATGACTCTGCGGTCCCGTTTACACCTCTATTAAGATGCGGATCACAAGTGGACGACGATAAATACAGGTGCAAAGGGGGTCTAAAACTTGAGCTTGTCCACTTACTTCCAGAGGTAGTCAAAAACGCATTCGGCCAGAGACAAAAGACAACTCTCCACCTATGACCTAACACGTGATTGTTATAGGACATTTGTGAGAAAGCGCACCAAAACAAGGTATACAAACCTCGCAGATTACGTTCGAAATCGCAGTTTCCATCCACATTGATTCGTTCATTCAATAGTATTCGTGCGGTGACCTTGGAGGGAAGGGTCTCAACGATATCCGAACACAAGTGGTCACAAGAGGCTCATTTGAAAGCATGTTAATACCAGGTGGAAACGGTAATGTGTCAT